TATTGCTATAGACCAATCAGCTTTATTATTATCCAATGGGAGTAATGCATATTCACAGCATACAAAAGGATTATCCCACAGCACATGCCAATAACCTAATTGGTTTCACTACATCCTAATACAGTTGTTGGACCAGACACCACAGTCTTAACATGTAGACATTGGTGGAATTTTGATTTATTTATATTTATTTATTGATACAGGCCTTGTAGTTTAGTACAGATATGCCATTAACTCATGATCCTTCTGTTTCAGCTTCCCAAGCACTGGGATTACAGGCATGAACAAGTCTACCCAGTTATAGAAGGGATTTAAAATATCAAATTTACTATAGTAAAATTTTCTGGGGGGTGAGGATTAACATATATATATATTCAATGTCACTCATAAAGCAAAATGATATGCATGCCTAAGTTCGGAATGTTCTGAGACCTCCCTGAGGACACAAATGCTATGGCATATCACTGTTTTACAAGCATCAAGAAACTCCTTGACCTGTTCCAGTTACCCTGTCTGAAAACTTAACAGCATTTGAATTATGCACTTTTGATGCTTGTATTTAGTAAGAAATAGTAGACAGAGTAAACACAAGGCATTTGAGACTCCAAAGGTAACTTCTTAGGACATCACAGAACCTCGAGGTACCCTGCTTCCATTCAGTGATAGCAGCTACCCTTAGCACGCGCTAATCCACGTCACCTTGGGACCAAGCCTCACAGAATCATTTCTCCCAGCAGTTCTCTTGCTCCCAGCAGCCCTTATTTCCAAAGACACTTGTAGAATTTTAATATCAGAAAGGGCCTGATTTCAAAATCACAGACCTCCTCCAGTTCAGAAATTAAGGTCAATAAGAAGCTCAGAGGGACAGCAGCTTGCCGAGAGACAAAAGAGGTAGAAGACACCGCCTGCTCTGGCAGTCAAGGCAGCTTCTCCTCTGCCTTGTAGGCCAAAGACATATTTGCCATAATTAATATTTCACTTTTTCTGTGAGGTTTTCTCTAGTCCCCTGAAAGTCTGATATAGACTTCATAGTGAAAACTGAATATTCTGTTTAGGTCTCCACACTAAAACGATTGTTTTGAAAAGAATTGATTCTAAAAAACAATATGTAATGAAAACTTTAGTTTCTTTCCAGAATATGTTTTATCACAATTATTTTTGCAGTAGGATCTCATTTGAGTCTTAATTAACAGGTTCCATGAATTTTCCTTAGGGAAAAGGCTTGTGGCAAACAAAAAGAAACAAGCAATGCAAAATAAGTGACAAATCTAGACCCCTCCAATCTGGCACTGACTGTGGGGACACTCTTACAAGTGAGCTGAATTTCAGGCCGCAATGGGCTGCAATAAAGACGTTTCCAAAGAAAAAGGCCAGCCAGCCATGGTGCACCTGAAATCCCATCATCTTCTGGGAGGTAGGGACAGGAAGATCAGGACTTCAAAGCCAATTTGGGCTAAGTGAGACCTTATTCTATATTCTCCCTTCCTGCTTCCACATCTTCTTCAGACTCTCCAAGGGCTGGATTTAATCTGTGATGGACTTACAGACTCTAGCGGGCCAGCAGATGACCAGGCAGGAGTACACAGAGAAACATGGGGGATCCACTTACTTTCAGAAGAGAGGGGGAGAAGAGGAAGAGAGAATAGGTCATGGGGGAACAGGAAGGTTGAGTGGGGGTAGAATAGGGGGAAGAGGGAATCATAGGTTAGAAGACAGATCAGGCACCAGAGTGACCTCTAGTGATCTAAAGGGATGACACCAACTGGCAAGCTAAGCAATAGTGGAGAGACCACCTCGAATGCCCATTCCTGATAATGAACTTGATGTCTATAACCATCCTGGAGACTTCATCCAGTGACTGATGGAAGCAGAGGCAAACACCCACAGTTAAACACTGAACTGAACCCATAGAACCCAGTGACAGAAGAGAAGAGCGATGAGCAAATTGGCAAAGAATGGGCTGGCACAACCAGCAGAGACAGCTGATCTGAACAGGGGAGAGCTCTTGGACACCAGACTGACAGCTGGGAGCCCCCCTGAATGTGAGAGTCAGTGAGGAGGCCTGGGCAACCTATGGGGCCCTGGGCAGTGGATCAGTGTTTATCTCTGGCATACAAACAGACATCGTGTGTCCATAACACAAAGAGGGATGCTCTCTCAGCCTGGACTCTTAGGGGAGTGCCTGGACCCTGCCCTGAGTGAAATGACAGACTCTAGATATCCCCTATGTGGAAGGAAATGGCCATAAGGTGGGAGGCTGGGGGGGATGGTGGAGGGGTGCAGGAGGAGGGGAGGGAGAGGGAACTGGGATTGACATGTAAAACAAGCTATTTAAAATTAAAATAATAAAAAATAATCTCTCAATAAAAAAGCATATGCAATAAAAATAAAAAATAAAAATAAAAACGTGCCCTGTATCACAGTTGATCACACTTGGTTTCTTGAGCTCCTATAGTTTTTCTTTTTTAAAGATTCAGATTGTAGTGATCGTCCTCTGATGTAGCAAATTTTCCTTTTCCAGTTTTATACTATTTCCTTCCTATCATTGCTATAACTTACTGCCACTTACTTACACAGTGACTTAGACCATAAGTTTATTCTTATTGTCCTGGAGACCAGAAGTCCCAAATGGGACAGCAGTCTGGTTCCACCCAGATGCTTCCAGAAGAAGCTACTTCCGGTATCATTTCCGGAGTCTGTTTGTGCTCCTTGGTTTATGTCCCCTGATCACATGTTTCTGTGATAATTACCCTTCTCTGATGCAGGCCCTTATAAAGACTTCTTATCAATTAAGTCCACTCAGGGTGTCCAAGATAATCCTACAACCTCAAACCACCTAATTTAACCAACCTACATTTTTTTTTTTTTTTTGCTATGTAAAACCACATAGTCTCTGGGTCCAGACATCAGGACATAGGCATCTTTTGGGAGCAATTGCTCTGCCTACAGCCTACATACCTTTTATACATGCATGTAAGTCTGTAGAAATGTCCAGATCTGGGGTTCTATTTTACTCATTCTCTGAATGCCCTCCATGGTTGGAATAATATCTACCATGCACTCAGTAGGGATTGCTGGACCCGACTAAAGACCCTTTGTATGAGGTGAGGCACTAGCTGCAGCAATAAAGCTAGGGGAATAGAAACCAGAGATGGATTTGTGGTATTTGATGGAATTGACCATAAGACACCCTGCTTGCTAAGACAGTGATACAAACTGGAATCAAATGGACCCGTGCTCTTCCTAAATGGCTGGAGATGCCTCAAGGCTAATGTGCTGTTAATTGGATTTCTAAAATTTCTCTAGGAAGCACTCACTGTCCTAATGTTCATCACATGTGTGTTGTGCTGGCAAGTTTCTATAAAATGAAGTCTAACAGTGCAGCCATCTGTGATCCCACACAGGATGAGTACCTACAGGAATTAGACAGCGAATGGCAGAGTCCTGGGCTAGGCAAACAAGAAAAGTGTTGGTAGGCTTGGGGATAAAGGATCTGGTCAATCTTTGGATGCCCTCAACCGAGAGATTAAGAAACAGGAAAAAAGAAATAAGGTTCTCCTTGTAAACCAAAGTAATGGATCTGCTGAATACACCACCTTGATCATGAGTGCCCACAGTTCACAACTTAGTGCCTCTCTTTTACCCTCCTCGGGGCAAGTGACTCCAAGTGCCCCATGACTCCCTGGCAGGTACACTTCCCTTTCAGGAGTGCGGATTCCATTGTAGTGACTGGGTTCTGAGTTTAAAGGGTCGAGCCTGGAAAATCCCCTTCCCTTGAATCAGGAGAGTAGGAACAGCTTGGTGGCACCTTACATCAGATGGGCCTTGGGCATTCTATGCCATGTCCAACACAGCTCAAAGGATGGACATGAAGACAGATGGACACATGAACAGGAAGCTGGGCTTGGGTAGTCTGGGCCCTCTGCTGGAGAAACCACAGCCTCCTTCCCAAAGTTCAGTGTGTTTATTATTTAGAGGCTATTGCATACAGCTGAATAAGGAGGTATGGCTATTACACACTGATAAACAAGGAGGCAGGGTTTATGGTGTACAGAGGGTTTAGCTAATTAGTAGGAACAGTCTCTGTAGGGGAGAGGTCTTCAGGATGTAAATATCCTGGGTTGGGGCAGAAAGCTATGGTGGACCCACACAGTTAGCATTCACACTCAGACCAGAAGGGAAGGCTTTGGCATTTCCTTCCCAGTCTGAGGCTAAGGTCCTTGCCATGGCCATGCCCATGTCAACAGCACACAATCAGCGAGGCCATCACACACTCAGGGCTTCCTGCATGCCACCCCCTTGTTAAAGCCTTTGTCTGCTGTGACAGTGACTGCCCGTTGGGAGGCCTCGTAGAGTAGTAACTGGTCTGAGGCTGTTCAAGTCAGAGAATCAGGACAGAGCTCCTGACTGGGTGGGCAATGTCGTTTTCAGAGGTACCTGAACCTACTGAACAAGGAAGACAGGAATGCTCCAGGAAGGGAAAATTTAGAGAAAAGTTAGGATGAAGAAAATCATGGAGGATAAAAAAGGCCAGTGGTTTAAAGTGGGTTGAGATGATAATTACTACACCATCAAGTAAAAAAACTAAAGAATGCACATTCTGGGGAGTAAGAGCTGGTGTCCGAACTGTCTGAGGTATCCCTCTCAGCAGGGCCCGAGCAACCCTAAAAGCCAACTTTGCATCCTGAGCTTTGGCCTCTCACTCCAAAGCCCTTGGCCGGATGAGCTCCAGTTGAGGGCTCCGCGCTCTTCTGTTCAGTCCCACTCCGGGGCACAGCTGCTGGTACAAGGCGTCCTGCTGTTTCTAGCTCCCTGGCTTAGAAAACGGAGTCAGCTCGGTGCCTGTGTGGTCTCCAGTGGGCCTCCGTTTCTCCACTGCTGCCAAGTTTTGATTTGGTGTTCTCAGCTTCCCAAATCCAGAAACGAGCCTTTTTAGGCTCGATTGTTTGTATTCTCGCCCATAGGTCAACATTTGGCCTTCCTCCCATTTGGGAGGGTTTTCTGGGCAGATGCTTGGAGTCCCACCAGCAATGCAGAAGGCTACAGTGGGCAGTGCAGTCCACAGCACGAAAGACCTCAGAGGAAAGAAAACAGGCTGAGAAAATGTCAGGAGATGTGTTTAAGCTAGGGGTTTCCCGAGTACAGGCTCCAGAGCCTGGGGCGGAACAGAAGACAAGGGACAGCTTGAGGGCTGTCAGCAGTGTTCTGACCCAAATCTGGCTCTCTTCGCCTCGCGCTTGCCCCACCGGGACCTGCTCACTGAACAACACTGGCTGTTTTCGGGCGAAGGCAATTGAAACCGGCTGGCTACTGACACAGGTGACAAGTGATAAAGATGGCATTTCCTCACAGCATCTTCTGATAACACGCTTTCAAAGCTCCTGCATCCGTCCGGGGCTAGAAGCTTGCGCTGGGCCATCTGTCTTTTCTTTCCCTTGTAAAACAGAGAAAAAGAAAAGGAAACCAGAGCCTCCAGCTTCGGGGCCCTGATCCGGGGCACTCTTCCAGGCTGGACGGGGCAGTCAACTGGCTTGTTCACTTCCTCTTCCTGACCAAGTTTAAATCTGTTTGAAGCGAACACTGGCTGCTTGGTGTTTCACCCTAAATGTGTTTTGAAGAGTTTTAGGCAGCATCTAAGGTATCTTAATCATAGCCTCCATTTAGGTGAAGACGAGAAAGAGAGAGAGAGAGAGAGAGAGAGAGAGAGAGGGAGGGAGGGAGGGAGGGAGGGAGGGAGGGAGGGAGGGAGGGAGGGAGGGAGGGAGGGAGAGACAGAGAGAGACAGAGAGAGAGAGAGAGAGACAGAGAGAGAGAGAGACAGAGAGAGAGAGACAGAGAGAGAGACAGAGAGAGAGAGAGACAGAGAGAGAGAGAGAGACAGAGAGAGAGACAGAGAGAGAGAGAGAGAGGTGAAGTGGGTACTGTTGGCTGTTGGCCAGGCTCTGCCAAAGTATTTCACTAAGCAACAAAGTTCATTCAAAAGGCTTACTGGGGGAGGAGGATCATGAAAGAACGAAAGGCCAGCTGGGAGTGGGGTCAGGAGAGAAACAGAGACAGACGGAGAGGACAGGAAAGAGACAGGAGGAAGAAGAGAGGCATGAGTCAAGAGAGCGAGCTGTGCCTGGCAGGCACTTGGGATGGGTGCACTTGTCGCATAGCTGAGGTGGAAAGGCGCCTGGCGACAGGTGATGATGCAACTTAACTGCTTTGGTGGCAGAGGCAGGCTGCTGCCACTGTGGAACCTAAGTGTAGCGTCAGTGCCAGGCATGGCGGCACTTGCCTTCAATCCCAGTACTAGGGAGACTGAGGCAGGAGGACCACCACTACAAGACCAGACTGTGCTATATATAGCAAGATCCTCTAAATAGATAAATAAATAACAAACAAACAAAGTAGGACATTTAAAATGCAGAATCTGGGTTTTTCCTGGTTGACCAACTCCCTGACTGAGAATGTCAGTTTTGAGATGATTATCACCGATGGTTTCTCCCAACAGTCTCGTGACTGCTCATCCTAAGATGATAGTTAAATATATTCTGTTAGAGTGGGATGGGTGGAGGCAGCATGGGAAGGAAAGGATGGAAATAAAAGAAGGGACGAGCTGACCTTAACAGAAGCAGGTCGTCCTGCAATCAGAAGGAGGTCGACTTCTCCTCGGGTATGGAGTCTGTGCACGCGGCATGGGGGTGGGCTATAGGGCGGAAAAGGGCCTTATGCCGGAGTGTTCTTCTGTAGTCTCAGAGTTGGGATTACTAATGCAGGTTGCTATGGTGTTCTTTTAATGACCTGCTTAGTTTAGGAGGCCACACCATCCTTTAGACTCCCTTATCTGGAACTCCCCGGATCCTACGCCTGCACATGTTACTTAGCCAGCATTAGGCTTTGAGGTCGTTAGTCCTTTACATGCTGCATGTGCAAATACATATTGGGAGAGAAAATTGGCTCTGACTCTGAAGTTGCAAGAACTTCCCTGAGTTTGTATAAAGTGCGCATCCCAAATGGAAGAGCTCCTTTTCATGAGAGAATCAAACAAGTCCTGAAGACTAACAGACAACCCTTAAGCAGCCCAGGAAAATACTTGTAAATTTAGGATCTCATATTCCCTATTCTCACATCAGGATCCTGCATAGCTGTTGGCTGGCACTTCCCAAAACCTCAATGTGTGTTATGTATTTTTATCCCTCTCAGAAAATGACCCCTGATTATCTAATCCATGCCCAGTGCCATCCCAGAGACCTGCAGGGAGGGGCTAAGAGCAGGCAAAGAACACAGACCCCAGGGTCTTCCTAGAAGTAAAAGGTTGGCAGGAGTATCAACTGCCATTAAACTAGTCTTGCTGATCATCGATTTCAGTAATCTCCCTTCTGTTTTTAAAGTGGCCTTGGGGAGAAAGAAAACTAATGCATCACGGGTTTAATGGGAAGAGCAAAGCTTGAGGGCCCAGGAACACCAGGCCTGATTCTCAACTGCTTTATGTCACAGCAGCAATCTCAGGCCATTTAACTAGTGTTAGCCAGTTTTCTCATCTGCAAAACATAAGAAACGCATAGAGGTTTTGCATGAATTAAATAAGAATAGTTTAACCCACTAGGGCTCCTACTGTCACACTTCCTGGATTCAAACTCTGCCTCAAACACTCATTTGCTATATGATCTGGGCAGGCTGCTCTTGAGCCTCAGTCTCCGGAGGAGGGATAAGACTTAGGACTCTTGTTTTATTGGGTGGTTATGATGAACCAATGAGAATGTCCGCAGAAAGAATAGCGTTGCACTTGGCAGAGAGAGCGGTGAAATAGATGCTCCGCACTATTACTGACACCATGTCACCAGCATTTCCTGTCCTCTTAACCGCATTGCAAACTAAGAAGGGATGCTCGTGCTAGACATGACCAGAGGCAAATTCTTTCCTTTACAATAAACTTCTCTCTTTCCTTCCCCCCAACCCCCCGTAGGCATTTGTAAACAACAGAGGGCTTGGGGGTAGGGCAGAATGTCTTTAAGTGTGTTATTTCCTTCCAAACCAAACCCATCTGTTTTCAGGAAACAACAGATCCTGGGAAGGAGCCAGTAAGAGGAAAAGCCCAGGACTGTAAATCCACTCTGTAAGTCCAAACTGAAGCCGGCCATTATGACCAATAGTGTCTTCATTAGTGGGGTTAACCCATATATGCAACCAATTATGATCTGGTCAAAGTGAAAGACCTACACAATTGTCTAAAGGGTAATTGTGTAGGTGTTTCCAATTGTAGAATAATGTCCATTTGGTAGTACTTTACTAGTCTCTTTTCTGTTTCATCAACCAAAGTTCATTTAAAAAGAGTCCAAGAGAAAATGGGAGGCTTTGTTTAAGAAAGAAAAGAAAATGAAATTTCTTCATTGCACTGGAAAATAAAACTGGGCATGGAAAGATCAAAGAAAGGAACTAGTTTACATAGAGTAACTTCTCTGGGAGACTCTCACTCCTGCTGTTTATGCAAATGAGAGAGGCATCAAGCCAGACCAGGCTTGGCCAATATTTACATGTATTTATGTAAGACTCTTAGTCCTAGTTCATTAGTCTAGGCAGTAATAAAAGACTGCCTGAGACTATTCAAACCGCAGTATTCAAGGTCCACAAAGTCTAGTCTATGTCTTCCAAGGATGGAGTACCCATAGGATCACACACCCTTCAATCATCAGGCTATAGACTTCATTCTTAATTTTGAGCCAGTCAGCTTTGGAGGCTCAACTTTCCTTAATGTTCATTCACAGTGACCACAGCAGAGTATCATAGAACCTTACTCATGTCATCCAAGATGCTCTGGCCCATTAATGATCCAAACACCCCTTACTGTGCCCCTCTCTTCAACACTGCCACACCAAGGAATTAAGGTCCCAATATAAAAACTTTGTGGTGGTGGTGGTGTGGGGAGAAGCCATTCAAACCACAGGTGACAGTTATCAAAGTTAATGTTTGCAGTTTAGATTTTGGTTATCATGAAGAGTATGGTTGCTGGTGTGGTCTTGTCCTTGCCCTGCTCTGAGCAGATTCTATAGTTACCACCTTTCCTCATGCTCCTTCTGGGTTCTAGAAGATTCCATAACTTACTCACTTTGTTGCCCTCATATGGAGGCTTCACCATGCTCATCCAACACATCTAGGGCTAGATATCATTCTCACCAGACACGGCCATTCCAAATCGCCAGGCAACTCTAGAGTTCACTGTCCCAAGAAAAGACACCTGGAGGCAGCTAGAATAAAGAAGAGTAAAGATGAAGATGGCCTTGCATACCTTTGGGTGAATGCAGGGAAGGCCACACCAATATAACAGAGACTCATTCCTCTTCCTCTTCTGATTCTCTTCCTCTTCTCTACTGCTCTGTCTTTGAGCTTTTGCCTCTGCCTCTTCCCCCTTTGTCTTTCAGGTACAGTGTAGGTGGCCTTTCATGTCCCGCCAGTCAGTTCCCAAGTAACCACACAGACATTTCATATTAATTATAAATGCTTGGCTGGTAGCTTAGGCTTGTTTTTTAGCTGGCTCTTATAGCTTAAATTAGCCCATTTCTATTCATCTATAGGCTTATATACCTCAGGTACATACTTCCCATGTTGCCCCCTCTGTGTCTCCTTCTCCCCAACATTCTCTCTATCCCCAAAATCCTGCCTAGCTGTCCACCAATCAGCTTTTTATTAACAATGAGAGCAACACATCTGCAGTGTACAGAAGGATTATTTCACAGCAGTACAGTGCTTCAATACTTTATGTTAGTCTAGCACGCTTCCATCCATTTGGTAGGGGGTGGTGAAGGGCAACATTAACAGTGGTACCACTTTCTAGATTAAAAGAAACATGATGCAGAATGCCACACCATACCTGGCAGGTGCAGGGAGAGCCAGTCCTGAAGCTCATCTTGTGAATGTGACTAAGTGCTGGTTCTGACACAGCAGCCAGGATTCCAGGGATTATGTAGTTCATGAATAGACACAGCACACCAGACATATGGCCCCAGGATGCATTGCTCACACAATTCACCAGTAAGCTCCCCTAAAATCACTCCCGGGAGCTACTATTCTGACTGCCGAGCAAACCCCACGTATCTTTCCAGCCACCCGCTTGTCTGATATACCCCCAATGGAGGTGGGTGAAGGAGGCATTCAGCTGGAAGGAGCCTAACAATATATCTGCCCCCAGACCTTGAAGACCATGAAGCAAAGCCCCTCTTAGAATCAAAACTGACAACTAAATTCAGTCACTTTTAGTTCAGGCCCCTGGAAATACATCATGATGAAATTGTTTCTCAAAACCTAATCTGAGTTGTCAGTACTGAATATGTTGCTCAGTTTTTTTTCTGTAACTGTAACAAAAGGCTCAGATTAATCAATTGAAAATGAGAAGGGGTTTATTTTGCAATCTGGGAGGTTTAGGCCCTGCTTGATGTGTCTCACGGTTTAGGAGCCTGTGACTAGTGGAAAAGTGAGTGGTGGGGCAAGTTTCATGGCAACTAGAGGTGTGTAGTACCCACCAGAGAGGACTGCTCAAAGATGGGTTTAAGCCAATAGGAAGTCTCTATTAGCTGGCCAGCAACTACGCTGGGTGTTTGGGATCCCAATGTAGCCCTGAACCTTTCTCGGGGTGAGTTTTTAAGCACAAAAACCACATTCTGGGTTGACATACTTCAATTAACAAGAACAGTCAGCCAGAAGCAGAACGACAGACCCCCAAAAAGCCAGGGTAGTATATTTGGAGACTCCCAGAACTGTGGACTTTGATAGATTAAGCCTATGTTTTGGTTTTGGCAGATGGCTCTGTCTATGTGCGGAGTGGTATTTCTACTATGGAGTTGGTTGTGCTAAGGCCCCAGGGCTTGCTAAGGTCTGGAGGCCTGTTACACTAGGAATTAAAATAAAAGAGAGAGGAAAGGACTAGCACTACCCAAACCCTTTTGAGGGCATCCCTTACCCCAGACCTGGAACTTTTCATTGGGTTCCACCAGCTCCCAGTTGTGTTAGGACAGGGACCAGGTCTTTCACATGTGAACCTTCGAGGACATTTCAGATCCAAACTGGAGCACTGAATCATTACTCAGGTAATCACAGCTAAGCAAATACTGAGTTTAGGTAAGAACTTGAGAACATGGGCTGAAGACGTGGCTCAGTCATTAGAGTACTTGTTGTGCAAGCTTGAGAACCTAAGTTGGATTCCCAGAATCTTAGTAAGAGCCCAGATATGGTACAGGAACCCATAATCCCAGGGCTTCTATGACAAGATGGGAGAGACAAAGTATCCTCGAAGCACATGAGCCAGCTAAGAAGCCAATGAAAATCGCCCTATCATGAACAAGATGGAAAGCAAAGACAGACACCTGATGTTGTCCTCTGATTGACACATGCAAGCCTGACCACACACACACACACACACACACACACACACACACACACACACACACACACATACACAGAGAGGGGGGAGAAGCGTGTTTCTACTTACTTTATGTTAAAATGTACGATATTATCCAATTTACCTTACTACTTTGATTACTTTCTACTTGTTCAATCAAATTGTTATAAGTTAAGAACTCCTCCAGCTTCTTTGATTATACTTTCTTATAAAAGGAAGAGCTCTAGGCTTGGGAAGCCTGAGCATGACCCCCCCCCCACTGTGCACTCAGACACGCTTTCGCTCTTGGCTTCATTGCCATTTGCTATTGTCCAAGAGGAAAAGTACTGTGGAAACCCCCAGGGTGCAGTGAAGTGACTTCTCTCTCTTGAGCTGCTCAGCTATATATAACAAGGGAGTCAAAGACCGGTCTTTGCAGCACCCTCTGGTGGATGATAAAAACCAAACCAAGCAAAACAACAAAACACCCAGGAAGTCAGAGCTCAGGAGAGATGATCTTTGGTGATTTTTTTTTCTAAACAGCCATAAGTAAAATTTCCACTCCACATTAAAGATGTACCCAGATCAGGGAAGTGAAAGGAGAGGAATTTGGAAGCACAAATAAGAGCCCAGTGAGCTCTGGAACTGGGGCTGGAGTTATCCCTGGAGATGGCAAGTAGATTAATGGATACCGGGGATCTAGAAGGAATGATGGGAAATGTAGTGAAAATGTTCTCATACTAGATGACAGTGATGAATACACAGCGCAGCAATTTTCTAATAATTCTCACACTGCACATTGAAAATGAGTGAATTTCATGACATATTAATTAGGTGTCAATGTAGTCATTTTAAAAATGCTGCCAGGGGCTGGTGAAAAGGCTCAGAGGTAAAAGCACTGGCAGCACAAGCCTGGCAACCTAAGTTCGATCCCCAGAACCCTTGTAAGCCTGGAAGGAGAGAACTGTTTCCACAAGGTTGTTCTCTCATTTCCACACACATATGACGTACTTGTGTCCACCACACACATCTCACCTGTGCATACACACACACACACACACACACACACACACACACACACACACACACACACAACTGGCAGCCACCACCAGTAATAACAAAATAATAAAAAACTGCCACCAGACCAGGCATTGGTGGCAAAGACCTGTAATGCAAGCACTAAAGAGGCTGAATCAGGAGACTAGGAAGTTCAAGGCCATCCTGTATACACAGTGAGATCCAGATTCAGTAAAACAAAAGCGACAACAGAAAACCTGGAGGGAAAACAAAGTGTGAACCCCAGAGATCTATGCGGGTCTTTAGTCAGGAGCCTGCATCTTGTGAGTCAGAGGGGGAGGGGCTGTGGCTTAGATCAGGGGCCGAGCAGAAAGGACTGTAACAAGTGGGCCGTCTAAAACCCTGCTTTGTCCACTTGACATCATCCCTGGTGACTCCCCGGGCTTATCCAAGGCTGGGAGAGCAATAGCACCAAACTTGCTGCTTACTTTTAGTTCCTTTCTTCATTCCTTTATTTATAATCCTGTTGACTCGGGGGCATTTCTGATAGAGCAGGACTTGTGGTTGCATCCAAGTGACCAACCACACTGAAAGGTGAAAACCATGTTTTCCTCATTATTATTCTCAGTAACAAGGAATTCAGTGGGGTTTGAGAAGTAGATGAGATTTAAAAGCGGCTCGTGGGGCTATGGATACGGCTTGGTTGGTAAAGCGCTTGCTGAACAAGC